TTTTTGCTATGCTTGTTTAAATTGATATAGTCCTTACTATATCAGCAGTAGTATATTAAAGTATCAAAATAGTTATTTCAATGTATCAAAAAAATTAATGAAATAGTGATACATTAAAATATCAAAGAACTAATGATACATGTATGTTTTCATAGAAAATAGTAATGTTTCATGTACTAATTTTGAACAGCATGTAAATATATATATTCAAAACACTATCATACCTTTGTTGATAAGACCTCTTTACTTTGCAATTGAAGTTTTTCTTTATCTTATATTTCGTCATCACATCTACAAGTGTTGCTTTATCCTTATATATCTGGCCTGTCTTCACATCTAGATTATATGAATTGATTATAACATTTGTAACTCCAAATTCTGGATTTTCATATGAATCAAATAATCTAGATTCAACCATTGTCAAAGCCTTTGTATCATGTGTTGTGCCTTCTACACATGTTCCATCAAAGTTATGTACAGTACCACCAATCTTTTCAATTGTGTCAATACATAATGGATACATTGAAAATCCAGGCTCAATTTTTTTTCCAGTTCTAAATATAGTTTAACACTCATATCGTTCTTAAGCTTCATCGGACAGGAGTTACCTTCTACAATGTAACGAATTTCAATATCTTTCCTTGATACATCGATATTCAACTCGGCTGCAATTGCTGCTTTGAGATTAGAAAATTAAATTGAATCTCCAACAACAATTCTGTCGATTTTGTAACTTTCATACAGTAATTCGTTCACCCAAATTTTTGAATGTCTCATCAAATTTGACGTATTCATCATGAATCATCCACAACAACAACAGTCAAATTTGTATTGTTCAAAATTTAACTAGATGTTCATAAAAATGCCTTCAAACTAGACGATATAATCTTGAATTTTAAAAATTTGAAAGTGTTATCCAATTACGTGCTGAATTAATGCTTATTAATGAACTATTATCGTAATTTAAGCTGATTTAGATAACAAATTTAAATGTTCCATCCCCCCTTTTAATCTTAACAGTTTTGAATTACTGTGTATCATTTACCATGTATCACAACATACTACTATATCACGCCACAACAATTTTAAGGGGTTATTAGTAAATACTAAATTTGTCGAGACAGAGTGTAATTATTGTATTACACTATGGAATTCCTTAGATTTATACATAAAATTATTCATAATATTGTGAGTGTGATAAGTCTCAAAAGAAACTTTTTATGTTTCAGAAGAATGGAAAACAAATATTTTATTGAAACTATAAATTATGGGAAAATTTAATATCTTCAAATTACAACAATCAAAGTTGATGATAAATATTTACGTATAAGATTATCCAATTATTTTTCTATTATTTATTGTATACAAATACGGGCATGGTGATGAAATCAAATGCAAAAGTAAACTAGAAGTTAACTTGAATAAATATCAGTTGGCATAACCGGTTGGCCATTCCGATTCAAATGTGATGCAAAAGAAATTGAGAACTCACGTGGCTATATGTTGAAAAAATAAAAGATTCTTTAAGAATTTCTTTTTGTAGCTTGTTCTCGTGATAAAATGATCATTGTACCCGCTAAGGTTGGAATCGTATCCCCTAAAATTATTTGAAACATATAAAAAGGTGAATATGAACCCTTTCACCTGTCATGTGGACCGTTTGCTATTATGATTTAATGGATACATCTATAGTATAGTCACATGTGCATTTGTATCAACTTACAAATTGATTTTTGTAAGGTTGTTTGCTCGAATTACTAAATTAAGAGTACAATTCAAAATTATAAAGTCATGTTGATAATGCTGGTTGGTTTAGCGAAAATTGTTGCCTCCAATTATAGCTAGACCATTGATTATGAGAACAAATCTCTCAAAAATAAAATTTGGTATGAGATGAGTTTATTTAACATGTATGGATCAAACCAATAAGGTTCTCCAAACACAATTGGTTCAGGGTCAGGAACCAAATAATTTCCATCTAAAAGCTTGATGTGCGAACGTATGATTTTATGCTCCACCACGCACAAAGATGGATCCCCAATTGAGATTGAGGGTGAATGATAGATTTCCTAACATTGGGGGGGGGGGGGGAGATATGTGTAGCAGCTGAAAATTATGTGTGGCATGAATTATATAGATCCGCGTCAAAAAAATGTGAACTTGAAGTTCAAGAGATAATTCATTTGCAAAATGTTGCAAATAATTTGCCAGATGTATTTGCTGACCCAATATTTTAGTTAAGCTGAAAAATGTTCCAATAAATAGTCCTTGAAGGACAGAGTTTATGGTACACCAAAACATGATAGACTAATTGATTCTAAATATAAAATTTCCTAAGGAAGAAGAGGAGAAAATTATCAAAATGGTCATTGATAATGAGGTATGTGCTTGAAAAGAGCACTATGACATAACACTTAATAAAATCTTGGCAAAGGTTCAAGTACCTGAAAATGATGAAAAATGAAGAAATCTCGATAAGTTATGTCGTATTGAAATCGATATCAAAATGGTTGTCGACGGTATATTTGATATGATGTAGCACTCAGTGCTATAAATGATTACGAGGATCTTAAATTCGAATCAATCATATAGTATGTACAGATAAATGATTGACACTATTCAAGTGTATTTTGTTTCACTTAGAAAAGTGATGCTTTTGGACATATAGTTCATAGATCAAAATATATGTCAGTGGGGGTACAAATGAATCATTGTGCAAAAGTATAACCGTAAGATATAAAGTACGATTCGTGCTTCGGGGCATAAAGAATTTTCACAGAAAACCTGACATTATTAAATAGAGATATGTTCTCCAATGTTGAATGTAATGAGACTTGTTTCAAATACTTGAATATGCATAATGAATGATTAATACGTCTAACTAGACGATGAAGGTTATATGAAAATCCATGAAGGATTTAAATGGTCTTAAAGCAATTCCATTGAGTACTCAATGATTTTGAGATTGCTTAACCTAAAAAATTAAAGAAACCTCATAAAAATGATTTAAAATGTCATGTATTAGTGTAATTGGTGCACTTACAGATTGCTGGTTATACAAATGTTAAAAGATGTGTGACTTTCTTTGAGAAGAAAAGACAAGCTTCAACAAAATTGGTGAATCTCTCATGAGTCGAAAATAATTTGATTATTTAGATGCAAAATATTTATGCGATCTACATAAAGCTCGATTGCAAATGAGTTATTTGCTTACTTATAGAGGCACAACAATATCTTGACATTCAACAAACATTGGTAATCACTTCTTCAAATTATATTGATCTATGAAGCAAGTCAGGGGTGTGTTGGGTTGGAATCATGATCTATCATATTCAGAAAATATATGTTTTTCCTTTGACAAAGGATACTTCAGCCACCATATACGAAAATAATATATAGCTCAATTGAATGGAGGATACAATCAAAGGAGATCAAACACAACACATTTTACCGAAAGTCTTTTTCACACATGATCTTCAACAAAATGATGAGATAGACGTTCAAAGATCCATTCAAGTGATAATCTGGTAAACTTATTCACTAAAGATTGTCAACATTAATATTTGAGAAGTTGTGATAATAGATTGGAATGCATTGTTTCTAAGATATCAAGTAAAGTTTTTATCAGGGGCAGAAAAATACGCGTTTTACTCTTTTCCTTAACCATGATTTCATCCCAATTGATTTTCCTGGTAAGGTTTTTAACGAGACAACGTTCAAAGCGTATTAAAAGATATGTGTACTCATTTTCCTTCACTAAGATTTTTCCCACATGGTTTTTCCTAATAATGTTTTAAAAAAACATATTATCTGTGAACATCCAAGGGTAAGTATTATAAAACAATACAATGTGAATGTCCATTACACCAAGAAGTTACTCACCCATTATCTCTACTATTTTCCTCAATATGAAGATGATCATAACCTCCACCTTTATAACCATTATTCTTATAACCTTTCAATTTCATAACATCCCCATATATTCATGTTAATGTCATGTTTATGACTAACCTTTTGTATGCCTCTATGCTACACTATAAATAGAGGCATAAGGGTTCATATTATATATACTTGAAGATTGGGTGAATACTTGAAAGAAAGAAAGTTATCTCATATTGTTCCTCTTATCTTGTATTCTTCTTATCTTCATCTTTATATTGATAGTTTGGTTTAGTTTTACAACAAAGAACAAATATTTAATATTATTGTCATTCTTAGTGTAAATTGATTTCTTTTTTGCATTAGTATTAATTTGATTTTAATTTAAATTTTATAATAATTACCAACACTTGTGGACTATAATCTTTATGGAACTACCCAAAATTCTAAATTTTAAACTTGAAATAATATATGAAAAGATAAAAGCTATGAAAAAGTATAAAAAATATTTTAAAATTATATCAAAGTAAATATTTTTATGCGTAAAATAAAATTTCAAATTACATATATAATGTCGGGTTGATTTGGTCTCGGGTTAATTTTTATTAAGACCAAACCAACTCAAATATAGTCATATTTCTTTTTTTCAACACAAAACCAAGTCAAATCAACCACTAGTCAATTTTTTTTCGAATTGACTCGATATGCAATTTTATTCGATTTTTAATTTTATTTTGTACAACTCTACTATCAACTATAGTTGTTGGCTAGATATTACTTATTTTTCATCTTCACTCTACTGATCATATAGTGTTGAAGAACAATAGCACCCTTGGGTTTTACAAAAAATTATTTTTGTGATTTCTTATAATAATATTTTTCATGAAATGCGGCTATGTTTACATTCCTACTCTATTCAAATAGGACAAAATGTCATGACAACTCAAAAAATAATCAATTAACTCAGTGTTGAAGAACTTAAGGAATAAATGAATTTAAAGAAATCGTCACCTATTTTTAAGAAATCATATAGTGATTTACGAAGTCATTAGGTTCTAGGTAAGAATTTAGGTTATTTCAAAGGAAATGTGTTAGGCACCCTTGAAATCTACTACAGTAGGTCCCGACTGAACTCATTTTTTCGAATTAAAGAGATAAAAATAATATACAGGTATAATAACATGTAACATACACAAATAATAAAATAAAATAATAATATAAGACACAAGCTAAAATTAGCCTAACGTCGATAATATATATAATTAATAATAAAATAATATAATTCGACCTTCATTTGAATTACTCCAATGGAAAGCATCTCCGGATACCTGTAAAGACACTTAGTAAAAGTGTTAGTGATAAATAAATATGAATAAAAACAAAGGAATCAAATAGTAACTTAAAAATAAAAATTCATCTTATTACCATGGGAGACCTCTAAAATCGACGAAGAAATTTTTTCATTAGCCAATTTTAACATACAAAATATAAGCATAAAATTAATTTTAAAAACTAATAAAAGATGTGGCAAAACAATATAGAGCAACAACCTAATACTTGGAAAACAGTGTACGAAATCAATCCAAATGAATCAAGAATAACAAAAACTATAAAAATGGAGCACAACTGCTCATGGGAAGCAAACATCAATCATCATTCTAAAAGTAAATGAACTAGTGCAAAAGCTACAAAAAATTACATGAAATGATTGCCGAAACAAACTAAAAACAACAACAAAATCAATATAAGTTTAACATTATACATACCGATAACTAAATTAATATAATAACATAAATTGGCAAACTAAAGTAACAAAATAAATAAAAACCAAGTGTCTATAGGATATTTGAACAAGCAAAGGTAAATGTTTAATTAATAAAATTACTCTACTAAACTTAAACTATAAGAAATAAGTAAATGGAAGAAAAATTATATGATGAAGTTAATAATCAATGACAACAGTAACTTTGACCCAACATGCAGCAAATCTATTTCAATTCTAGAATATAAATAAATTAAAACATTCAGGGTAAGAAATAGATAAAATAAGCACAAAAATAACAAATTCATAACAATGAAACAACACATAACTAACAAATAAATAAGCAAATAAAAATAAAATTCAACAACCTGAATAGCCGAATCAAAACAAGGAGGGCATGGTTTCATTTTGTTTCTGCCGGAGCAATGGTGGGGTTGCTTTTCGGTGGTATCCTGGTTCATTGTTGGTTTGAGGCGGTGGTGACAGCAGGGTTTCGAGCTTCTTCATTGCTGTTTGGTCTAGATTTAAGGGAGGTTGGTGGTGGTTTTTTATCTGCTGCCAGTATCTATGGAGGAAAATAGAAAAATGGACCTTACCGGAGAAAATGGTGGAGCGATGGTGGTTCTCCGATTAGGTTTCGCCGGAGAAAAAAGAAAGAATGGGTTTGGGTAGTTTTGGGGTCGGAAAAGGTTGGTTAGTGGAATGTTCGCCGGAAAACGGAGAAAAATGAATGGGGTTTAGGATCGGATGGAGGTCCCTTTTTTGGTGGTTGTTTGGTGGTGTTTCAGGCGTTGTCCGATTGGTTTGGGTTTGATATTGTTGGGTGGCTGTTTTAGGTGTTTTCTGGTGATGTTTTGGTTTGAAGAAGGGTCAGGTTCGCGGTGTTCCGGCGAGTTTTCATCTGGAAAATGAAGAAGAGGGAGATGGGTGTATTTGGTTTGCTGTTGTGTTGTTGGGTAGTTTTCGTTGTTGTTGTTGTTGTTAACAGATGGATTTAGTCGTATTTTGATGGTGATTTAGTGGAAGAGAGGAGGAGGAACAGTGAAGTTTTGGTGGCCCGTAGGAAAATGCTCCGGCGAGGATGGCCGGAAAAGGCAATGAAAAATAGTGAGACTAAAAAAGTCTGAAAAATTATTAGAACTTCCCCAAAACTAATTGATTCATCACCTTATTTTTTGACCTAATAAAGTCCTAAATAGAAAATTATTGAGAAATTTATATAAATATATTATAATAAAAAAATATTTATCATTTATAGCAATAATATTTTTTTTATTTGATCATTTTTAATTCATTTATAATACAAGTTAAATGCATATTACAAAGAACAATTTATTATTCACATATAATACAAATTTTAATGATAAATAATATATTTATCACACATTTTAATACACTTATAATACAATGTGATAATTTTTTACCAAACAAACATGATATATTTTAAAAAACAATTATAATTCATACATATTGCATACGTAATTCATTTTTAATACATATTACAGATTTAACAAAGCATTGCTATAAATGATAATAAATAAAAAGTATCGTTAAAATCAATAATTATTTTTTAAAATGTATTAATTTATGTAATTTTTTCAAAATTGTTATATATTGGACATAATTCATGTGCTCAAGACTGATGCTCAAAATCGTTGATCGATAAAATAATCGTGTATTAAAATCTTTTTGCATATTTGAATAAATTTTTATACTGTGCAAAGTAACAAATAAATATTAATAAATGTAATAAATAAAATGAATATTAAAAAAAATATATTGAATATAAGTCGTCAATATGGGCTAGACATGTTGGGCCGGCCTTGCTTAACTCGGTATTTAATAGGGGTAAGCTAAGATTTTTGATAAATATTGATAGTGTCGGCCCGTGGACCGATAAAGTTAATTAAAAATATAATATAATAGTATTAAAAATTTAAAATTAAAGGAAATCCAAATCAAAACAATTAGGTTAATATTCTTTTTAGATATTTATACCTTCACTTGAACTAAAAACTTAATAAATATTTAAAGATAATTTAATTTTTGGATTTGATTAACAAGTAGTAACATTAACATCATGTAATATTATTTTGTCGATATTTATGATAATTTTTTAAACTATAATTTATAATTTAATTTAATAATTACAAAAAAAAAATTAAAAAAGTGGGCTGACTGGGTAAGCCTGTAGTCCACGCACTTATGTGTTGGGCCGATCGTTTTCTGTCCCACAATAAAAATGCGCTAACCCGGCCTGTCCTATAAAATGTCAAAGCTTGTACGGGTCAGCCCGGATGGGGTGGGCTAGCCCATATTGACAGCTCTACATGTGGAAATGCAATTTTAAAATTAACTAATAAAAAATCTTAAATTTTGATAAATAAGGATAGTTATCGATAAACTTATTTATTTAAAATTTTAAAAGTGTACTTTGAACTATTAAATAAATAAAACTTAAAAATCACGAATTTTGAAAACGTTAGGTCAGAATTGGGTGTCAACAATGTTAATGGAAATTATTATTTGAACCTCAAATTTACCAAAAGGTTGCGTTTTAAATTCAAACCAATAAGAAAGTTTTTATCGATTTGTCGATTTTGATCCTTAACATTTCAGTTTTAAATTTAACAAATAAGAATATAGAAAGTAACTAGCAAGTAGTAAGCTATAGAGATTAGTATATAATAATTATGTACAAGTAAATATAATAAATTATTAGTCTTAATAGGTTATCGATTTACCCAATAACCCAATATTAAAAATCAATACTGAACCGATAATTTGACAAATTTTTTGATAAAATCATTAAGAATCATTAATTAAATAACCCAATAACAATAAGCCAACACTTTTTTTAATTTAATTTATCGATCGATTCAATTTCTACACATTCGTGATCTAGGTTACATATATTAATATTACCATAATTGCATCATTAGAAGTTATGCTATTTTAAAATATAAAAATTAATGGGCCTTAAAATCAATATATACAATTATCCTTTTTATATTGAGCTTGTTTATGTGCATACATGATACGAATCATACATATATCAAATTATTCTCCACATGTTTCACATTTTGTGCAAATCAAGTTTGTGAGGTAAAATATGTTTGAAATACTTCATAATACAAAATTTGAAGATAAAAATATACATAATTCCCCCGTCTTAATCATAATTGCTAAGAAGACTTTTAATTATTAATTTACCTTTTGACTTATACACAATATATTTATAAATATAAATGTGCATCAAGTAGCCTAATTGTTTTTTGGCATAATATAAACATATATATTTTTAAATTTTATTTAATATTTATACTCTTTTATTTTACAATAGTTATACTTTCAATTATTTTACATTTCCTACACTTCTTTAATGGGTGATTTTTTCCCTCAAACTTCTTCTTCTTCTTTTTTCTCAATTGATGTCCATATGACATTTGTGAATACGGAGGGTTTATAATATCCTTTAATTATGCGAATTGATATAAAATTATCCTTTTTCTATCATTCGGGCCTAAAATGCCCTTAACGTCAACCTTTTAACTCTATTTTACCCTCAACTTTAACAACCCAAATTCATTAATGACGTTTTACTATTTTATTGGCTACCCTAATAATTAATTTAACTAATCAAGAAATCCATATACCCACCTAAAAAGCCCCACCTCTGGTGTCAATGCTGATTCATAATCCAAAAGTTGAATCGGATTCTTTGACAAGGAAAGAAACAATTTGAAGAAAATTGTGGAGGATAGAGGTGGTGCTGAAATTTCTGATTTGAAAGATATGACTGCTACAGGTAAAAGTTCAAATTTGGAGTTCAAGGATGGTAATAAAAGTGCGATTTGAAGAAAGTGGACTGCTTGTAATATGGTCTGTGTTGCATTAGTATTATTAGTTCGTTAGGTGTTATGCAGTAATTTTTTGCAGAAGTGTTATTTTGGTGTTATGTAATGAACAATCTTATTTATTAGCCTAAAAATGTTGTACTAAAAGTTTTACAAGATATGTAGAATATTTTGCTTTAAATTATACCAACACTTCAGCTCATTGCTTTACGATCACAACTAAAATTTTTTTATTGCTCTTTGTCTGCATCTTTATTTTAACACTTTGTTAAAACACTTATTGAATATTAGTTAGTTAAATAACTAACAATTCAAAAGTTAGTTAGTAGGTCTGTTTTGTAATTTTCATATTAGTAGTTAAACTAGTTTGTTGCTTCGTTTATTGTGCTGATCAAAATTAATTAGTAGATATTTTTTCTTCTTCTGATTGCTATATAAGTAGTGAAAGGAATTCACATGTAAGTGGAATAAAAGCTTTTATAGATCAATACAAATTTCCTCTTCTCTTTTGATGTTCTAGTTTTCTCTCTAAAGGACTTCAATGGAGTTATGAGCTTGAATGCTCACTGTTTTTTGTTCATAGTATCAGAGCACAGTAGTATGTGCAATTTGTTGAGTTTAGATCTATACTAGTTGGTGAAACCCTATAGCTTAAAGATCTGCAGAAATGGTGGGAGTAAAGATAGCTCAGAATGATCCTTTATTCATTGGAAATTCAGACAAGTCGAGTGATGTGTTGATTCCAATTAAGTTGATTGGATCTGAGAATTATGGAGTTTGGAGTACCGCGATGAGGATTTCACTACTAGGGAAGAGAAAATATGGTTTTGTAACTGGTACGTGTACCAGATCTTTGTACAGAGAAGAACTGCATGAGCAATGGGAAATTGCAATGCGATTGTGTTGTCTTGGCTAATGAACAGAGTTAGTGAAGAGCTTCTTATTGGTATCTTCTATGCCACAAATTCTTTCTCAGTGTGGAATGATCTCAAGGAAAGATTTGACAAGGTAAATCGAGTGAGGATCTATCAATTGCATAGAGATATCACCACTCTTTCACAAGGTACAGATACTGTATCTCATTACTTCTCAAAATTAAAAGCATTATGGAATGAATATGATGCTATAGTTCCAAATCCATGTGGTGCTTGTCCTCAATCGAAGGAATATAATGATCATCTAGAGCAGATGAGATTGATTCAATTTCTGAGTGGCCTAAATGAATCATATGATCAGGCTCGGAAACAGATACTACTTAAAGGGACTACACCATCTATGAATCAAGCTTATGCTATGATTATAGATGATGAGATCCAACACTCAAGTTATATGGCTAGTGCAGTTGAGAAGCCAAGTTCAATGGTGATGAGTGTAAACAGGAATCAGGGAACTAGAAAGGAACACTACAAAGGGAAGAAGTGTGATTACTGTCATTTCCTTGGTCACACCAAGGATAACTGCTACAAGTTGATTCGATATCCAAGTGACTGGAAGCAAAGGAAGAAACCAGCTATGGAAATGGGAATGGAAACATGAGAAATGGTACAAGCACAAATCAATTCAATGCTATGGAGGACAAAGTTCAGGAAATACTGATGGATATGGAAGAGGATATCAGTCTATAAACAACATCTCTAATGACTACTGTGATCATCCTAATACTGCATCACCTAGTCAGGTGGAAAGTAGTAACCTGCCAAAGGGACAAACATTTACTGAGAAGGAGTACAAACAGGTAATGGAGATGCTAAACAGGATGTGCAAGAGACAAAACAAGTCAATATGACAGGTATTACAACTTGCTTAATGACAAATTCTGTTATTCAAGATTGGATTGTTGATTCAGGTGCAACTCATCATATTTTTGCAAACAAACAATTCTTGACTAGGAGACATGAATTAACCAAGTCAAAAAAGAATCAAGTTCATCTTCCAACAGGTGACAAGGTTACAGTTAGTCATATTGGTGAAATACCTATATTTGAAAGTGAAGTGGCTAGAAGTGTTTTGCATGTACCAGATTTCAAGTTCAGTTTGTTATCAGTGTCAAATATTACAAGGGAACTAAATTGTTTTCTATCATTTTATCCTGACTTTTGTGTGTTTCAGGACCTCTGCAGTGGCAGGGTGAAGGGGATTGGTAGAGAAGAAGAAGGATTATACAGTTTTAAGGCTGACTTTACATCTAAAAAGAAGGAGGAAATAAGGTGTGCTTAGGAAATAGTATTTGCAGGAGCTACAATACAGGACACAAATCTATGGCACAGAAGGATAGGACATCCATCTCAACAAATATTAAGACATCTCAAATTAGCTACAAGCAGATAAGGTGATGAAGTATATACACACTGTCTTGTTTGTCCTTTAGCCAAGAAAACTAGACTTACTTTTCCTATTAGTACTACTAGAGCATCCATGATGTATGATGTTGTTCATATGGATCTATGGGGACCTTATAAGACCCTTACTCTAGATAGAAAGCATTACTTCTTCACAGTAGTAGATGACTATAGTAGATTTGTATGAGTTCATGTTGCAGTTAAAATCTGAAACCATTGTGGCTATCAAAGATTTTTTTCAATGATTAAGACTCAGTTTGATTCTTATGTCAAAATTGTGAGATCTGACAATGGCACAGAGTTTCTTAATTCACAAGGTAGAGATTTTTTCAATCATCTAGGAGTATTGCATAAAAGTAGTTGTCCTCACACACCACAACAAAATGGTGTGGTTGAGAGAAAGCACAGACACATCCTTAATATTGCTAGAGCTATCAGATTTCAAGCTCATTTACCTATCAGATTTTGGGGTTATTGCATCAAGGCTGCAGTGTACTTAATGAATAGATTACCTTCATCAACTACTTCTAACAAGAGTCCCTATGAATTACTTCATTCTAAACAACCAAATTTGTCTTATCTAAGAGTCATAGGTTGTCTTTGATACGCTACAACATTGCCTAAAGGGGATAAGTTTTCAGCAAGAGCTAATGATGCTATTCACTGAGGGTACTCAGAACTACAGAAGGGTTATATATTATTGTACATCCATTCTACTGTGGTGTATGTGAATAGAGATGTGATCTTTCATGATAAATTTTTTCCATTTGCTAAGGTGATACCTCAACTTGATTCCTCAGTTGTTGTGCATGGTTCTCCTTTAGAGAAAGTAGAAAGTCAAGTTGTTGAGGATGAGATTAATAATGAAGATAATAGGGATCCTGCAGATACTATCACAATCAATGAAGATAATCAGAATGCTGAGATTGAGAATTCTTCAGTAGATCAGATACCTGAGCCTAGTCCAATAGTTGAAGTTTCTAAAAATATTCTTGCAGTACCATCACATGTTGACTCTCATATTAGAACTTCAAGAAGCATCAAAGAGCCAATTTGAATGAAAGATTATGCCATTACTAAGATACATAGTAGCACAAAACATCCTATGGCTAATTCTCTGAATTATGACAAATTAAAACCTGAGTACAGAAGTTTTTAAAGTAAACTTTCAGATGTGTCATTGCATTAGAAGTATCAAACGGCTGGACATTATACCAGATGGATGTCTATAATGGTTTCTTACAGGGTGATAAGAGGTCTATATGGAGATGCTTGAAGGTTTTGCAAGACCAGGTGAAAACAAAGTATGCAAATTACTCAAGTCTTTGTAAGGACTTAAACAAGCTTCAAGACAATGGAACCTGAAACTTACAAAGGCATTACAAGCCACATGTTTTACTCAGAGTGCTCATGATTACTCATTATTCACACTAAAAAAGGGGGAAGATCTTGTCATTGTTCTAGTCTATGTAGATGATCTATTGATCAAAGGAAGTAATACACAGTTGAACACAGAAGTTAAGGCATGTTTACACAGACAGTTCAAATTGAAAGATCTAGGTGAACTTAAGTTTTTCTTAGGCATTGAAGTTTTGAGGTCTTCTAAAGGAATTATTTTTTATCAAAGGAAATATATATTGGAACTTATTGCTGATGCAGGCCTGATTGGTGCCAAACCTGCATCCACACCAATGAAGTCCAATTTGAGATTGACTTCAGTAGAGCATGATCAAGCAAATGGCTATAGCGCAAATGTTGTGTTGCATGACATTACTTCATATCAAAGATGGGTTGGTAAATTGTGATATGCTACTATCACTTGACAAGATATAAGTTTTGCAGTGAATACTCTCAGCCAGTTCATGCAATTTCCCAAGAAATCACATATGAAAGCAGCTACTAGAGTGATTAGATATTTAAAAGGATCAGTTGATCAAGGTGTTTGGTTACATTCTAAACCAACTAAAATACTTACTTGTTGGTGTGATTCTGATTGGACTGCTTTTCCTAACACAAGAAGATCTATTACATGATATGTCATTAAGTTTGGAGAGTCCTTAGTTTCTTGGAAATTAAAGAAACTATAGACTGTTTCAAGAAGCTCAGCTGAAGCTGAGTACAGAAGTTTGGCTTTAGCAGTCTTAGAAATCACATGGCTTCTAGGATTGTTCAAATAATTAGGAGTGGATGTTCAATTACCTATTACTATCTTCAGTGACAACAAATCAGCTATACAGTTAGCAGCTAATCTAGTGTTAAATGAAAGAACAAAACACATTGAGATAGATTGTCATTTTATCTGGGATAAGATCAAAGCAGGCGAGGTTGACACTGTTTATGTACACACACAACAAAAACATACAGACATATTGACAAAAGGTTTGAGTCAAGCTCAATATATGCATCTTCTAGGCAAGCTTGGAGTGATCAATGTTATGCACTCATAAGCTTGAGGGGGCATGTTAAAACAGTTAATGAATATTAGTTAGTTAAATAACTAACAATTCAAAAGTTAGTTAGTAGGCCTGTTTTGTAATTTTCAGATTAGTAGTTAAACTAGTTTGTTGCTTCGTTTATCGTGATGATCAAAATTAATTAGTAGATATTTTGTATATATATATTTTTACTTCTGATTGCTATATAAGTAGTGAAAGGAATTCACATGTAAGTGGAAGAAAAGTTTTTATACAAATTTCCTCTTCTCTTTTCATGTTCTAGTTTTCTCTCTAAAGGTCTTCAATGGAGTTAAGAGCTCACTGTTTTTTTTCTCACTTAAAACGAAGTTTTTTCTAGTTTTTGAATGGCCATATTCGTATCAAATATGGCCACATTCATATCAACAATATCTTTTTATCTATAGAACAACTTAGTGTAAGTTGAGTACCTTGCTAAAAGAAAGATTCAACATGTGAAGAAACATTCCGACGACTAAATATGCTGATGAAAATTTCACAGTATCCATATTAATGCTTGTCAACCGAAAGAAGAAGGACAATACATATCGTAATGCTTTTCAATCGGAAAAAAAGGAAGATACATATCTTAATGTTCAGGATATAAGCAATGTCAATGTAGCAGTTCCCTTGTATCTCTATCTGGAGTTTAAATCTGATCTAGAATAGAAACTAGAATACATACGTGGAAGCATGTTGGGTTAAAAAAGGGTGGAATTTTTTTGGGTGCGTATATTAGTTTTTTAATTAACTAAATTAATTATTAGGGTAGGCAATAAAATAGTGACATGTCATTAATGAATTTGGGTTGTTATAACAGCAAATTAGAACCAAAAGATTGATGTTAAGGACATTTTGGACTCGAAAGGTAGAAGAGGATAATTTTGTACCAATTCGCATAATTGAAAGATATTTTAGGCCATTTTCGTTATGAATATTCTACGAGAAGTTAATTATTTTTCTCATTAATCAGGACAAGGGTCAATTCCTCTAGAGTTTTTACTAAATTCATGCACAAAACTGATATTAGTGAGAAATTTTTTACATTATTTTGATAAAGAGATTAATTTTTTATAAAGATTATTATGTTAGAATAGTAAAATTATTTGATATTCTTACATTCTTACCTTAGAAATACTTTGGTAAATGAATCTTGTGTTAAAAAAAAAAAGAAATATGTTATTTTGTGGTGATCCTTTTGAAAAGTTAAGATTCCTTTTTGTGTTTTCATTGTTTCACGTGAAGAAATTCTTTTATTATTTGACATCATGAAATCACGTACATACTTGATAAAAAAATAGAGATTGTGTGGTCATTAGGTGTGTCCTGGTTTGGTTATTGGTTAAAATCAAAACCAAAGCAACATAATCGGGGTTTTAAGTATCTAAACGCAAATCGAACTAAATGAAAAAATAAATGTTGGTTTGGTTATTAACGATTTGGTTTAGTTCGGTTCAGTTTTTTTTGATTTTTTCAGTCTGAATATAATAAATTTTTGAGGACATACTTTCTTGATAGACACAAAACCTAGTACATGAGCAATCCACTGAAAAGTTATTGTTGGTTGATATACCATGGTTTCACGGTATTATTAATACTTTTTCCTTAAGTTTAGTGTGTCCAAAAGCCTTTTTGTGCTAATTTTTATATAAGTTTCTCTTTATTTGCAAGAAATATGTCCAAAGATGAATGCAGAGATTTTGAGCGAAGAAATGCAGAAGAGACCACCTACGGAGCTTGTAAC